AAAAAATTGAAAAGTAGTACAGCCAAACGGCTATACTGTTTCTATTAAAATATCCGAATATATTTCAAGAGTATAGATATTTCAAGATTATCGCCGCGCGGCTATACTATTAAAATATCCGAATATATTTCAGGGGTATAGCCGGTCGGCTATACTATTAAAATATCCGAATATATTTCACGAGTACAGCCGGTCGGCTATACTATTAAAATATCCGAATATATTTCAAGAGTACAGAATATATTAAGAGTATCGCCGCGCGGCTGTACTATTTAAATATCCGAATATATTTCCAGAGTATAGCCGAACGGCTATACTATTTAAATATCCAGATATATTTCAAGTGTACAGCCGGGCGGCTATACTATTAAAATATATTTAAATAGTATAGCCGTCCGAATATATTTCGAGAGTATATCCGACCGGCTGTACGATTTAAATATTCTAATATATCTAAAGAGTATAGCTGCCCGGCGGTACTTCTCAATTCACCTTCGTCAAGATGTTGGAGAAGATCGGGTTGCCGGCAAAGCCATCACTGAGTGGGAATACTTGGGTGGTTGACGCCTCACACTGTCAGGGATGTACCTCTCAGTTCACCTTCATCAATCGCAAGGTTCATTTTTTATCCTTCCCTCCATCTCCGATCCAATGACCCATCTATGAGTTCTTCACAAGTTCTTATGTTTATTCATTTCCCATGCCTTAAAATCTGAGATTTTTTAATTTAATATGTGAACTCAACCGTGATTTCCATACTGCGCTTCGTGGCTTTCCATTTTGAACCTTGTGTACACCGTAGATTGTTTATTTTGTACAGGCCCATGATTATTTAGTTGAAGAATGTATTGGGGATTTATTGTTTGTGTTGTGCAAAGAAATGTGTTCTAATTATATAAAGGACTTGTTATCCAACTTAAACTTATTTGCAGCTTATTCTAGGATTGAATGTGATATTTCTTTCTAGTCTCTGGGTCTTTTTCTGATTCTTGGTTATATGCAATGTGGAATTTCAGCCTCATTGCCGGAGGTGTGGGGGCTTGTTTTGCAACAGCTGCACCCAGCAAAGAATGTTTTTACGCGGCCAAGGTGATTTGCCTGTGCGCATTTGTGAGCCTTGTGAAAAGCTAGAAGAAGCAGCACGCTTTGAGAGACATAGGCACAAGAGTACAGCTGGGAGAGGTACCATCTTGATTCCTTCTAAGGTTGTTAGTTCATTTGTTGTTGCGTTGAACATTTGTCGGTTCTGTCACCAGTTTTGCTAGTTTTGTGATTCTGCCACATGCTTTTTTGCTGAATTATGGTATAGACAGTTTTTGTTGCACTTGCATCATTTTAATGGCAGGCAGAAAAAGATTGAATTACTCTACCCTTTGATGGTTCCTTCTGTATCAAACCTCTAACTTTCTGTGCAGGCAGTTTGAAGTTGACATCAAAGCCTGAGGATGAAGTTCTGAACCAAATTATCGGTAATGATAGGAAGGAATCAGGACAAGAGTCTAACAGTAATGTGGTTGCTAGTATGCAGAGGGCCAGTAGTAGTGCATCTGTTCAGATAGTCAACAAGATTTCAGCCACCATGGGGTGGGAGAAATACGTAGAAGTCTTTCTGTTGATGAGCCTAATCATTTACAGAGTGGTGATGGATCTGCTTCTCCTGAGGAGTTGCGTCAGCAAGCTTTGGATGAGAAGAAGAAGTTATAAATTCTGGAAGGATAAGGAAGGTCTGCGGAAGCATTAAGAGCATTTAAGAGAGGGAAGGAGCTTGAGAGGCAGGCTGACGCATTGGGAATGCATTTGAGAAAAGAATGTAAAAAGGTTTTACTCTCTGGCAATGTGGCCAAACTAAAGATGGGCCTTCAGAATCTGGAAGAAGAAATAAGGTCACTCCTCCATTGAATAAATCAAAAGATGACCTTTCCGATGAGCTTAAAGAACTAGGATGGTCCGATATGGATCTTCGCGACGAAGACCAAAAGCAAGCAAGTCTTAGTTTGGACGGTGAACTTTCTTCTCTTCTTGGAGAAATCTCACAAAAGACCAATAAAAATAAGGGTAATAGTGCCATTGACAAAACCCAGGTTGTTGCACATAAAAGAAGGCTCTCATGCTGAAGCGTGAGGGGAAACTTGCAGAAGCCAAGGAGGAACTAAAGAGAGCTAAAGTTTTGGAGAAGGAACTCGAAGAACATGAATACTTGGCTGAGGCTGAAGATTCTGATGATAAGCTATCTGCATTAATTCGCAGTATGGATGAATGATGACAAACAACAAGAATTTTCAATTCAATATGAGCAGGAGGATGGCTTTAATTTTGATCTTATTAGTGCTGCTGATGATCATATTCTGGATATTAATTTTGAAGTGACAGACGAGGATATGGAAGACCCGGAAATAAATGCTGCTTTACAATCTTTAGGATGGTCTCAAGATTCTAAGAATCCTGAAACCCCTGCTTACCCATATAGCTGGTGTTGACAGGGAAGCACTATTAAGTGAAATTCAATCCTTAAAACGAGGGGCTCTAAATCATAAGCGGGCAGGTAATGTTGCAGAGGCAATGGCCCAGCTAAAGAAGGCAAAACCACTTGAAAGGGACCTCGAAAGCATTGACTCTCCAGAGGGCAATGTTGCAAATGATCGCACAACAATTCATAACCAAACTGCTGATAAATCATCAAAGTCATTTATGGTGGGTGATGGAATGTTAATAATACAATGGAAGACATGAACTCCAAACCTGCAAGGAAGAGTAAATTAATGATTCAGAAAGAGCTTCTGGGCTTGAAAAAGAAAGCCCTGGCTCTGAGAAGGGAAGGACGATTAGATGGGGCTGAAGAAGAACTGAAGAAATGCAGTATTCTTGAGCGTCAGCTTGAAGAGATCGAAAATGGTTCTATGCCAAAGGCAATGCCTGGGACTGTTGGCACTGGCATTAAGTAAGGTCCCAGATTTGTCACATGAGCAGCCCAATCTGCCAGTTGCAGTCGAGGAAGGAGACAATGTAACAGATCAAGATATGCATGATCCAACTACTGTCTCTGTTGAGGGTCTTCTTGATCCTCAACTACTTTCTGCCTTTAAAGCAATTGGAATTGATGATGCTAGCATTTTATCTCAAGGCCCTGGAAGACCAGAGCCTTCAAAAGTTAATGCCGGTAAGAGCAATAACCCAACCCAAGATAGAAGTCAGCTGGAAGAACAGATCAAGGCAGAGAAGGTTAAGGCTATAAATTTGAAACGTGCAGAAACCAAGCCGAGGCCTTGGTTACTCTTCGGAAGGCCAAGATGCTCGAAAAGAAGCTGAATTATTCTCCTTCAAAGTGAAAAGTAAACACGTCACCCTGGTAAGTTGGGAAGGTCCATTATTTGTTACAAGCTGTGAAACTCGATAGCTCTGTAAATGTTGTTGGTATGCAAAATTAGCCAGAGGAAGCGGGATAATTGAGGATTTATGCAAGAATGGTTTTACTCATTGAATGTTAATATGAAAATGCATCGTCATATTGTAAAGGGCCATTTTCTGCCTGCACACTTGGAGATGTGCTTTCTTCTTGTTTCTTAAGTTTTCTTGCAAGGGTTTTGGTCTGCCTCTTAATGCAGCAGATGAAGCAAACTTAGCCAATTATATTTCAACATCTGTAAGCTGCAGAACCCAATTTTGAATCATAATAAGTTGAAAAAGAAGGTAAGCTTTAGAGTGCCTGAAGAAGCCTGATATTATCATATTTACCCATCAGAGGGAGAGAAACTCTTACATGGGGATATCACTTTTTGTTATCTCCGGCCAATAACGCAATGACATGTTGGATAACTTTTCCACATGTCATTGTGTTAGTGGCTGCGAATAGCAAAACAGTCCTATCTCAATTACATATAAGTTTTTCAGCCTCAGAGGAGATCATGACAGTGACAGACAGTGATAGTGATGATGAAGACTATGATATAAGCACATCTACCAGCCGAGATGTCAAATCTTAGTCAAAGACACCAGTTTGCTTCATCATGTTTGGTTTTGGGTTTTGATGTGAATAATTCTCCAATCATTTCAATCTCACTCACAGCAGCTCAGTTTTAGTTATATCATGAGGCCCTACTTAATCCAATTATTATTATTGCTATGTATGGAAAGATCTCTCTGTTTCTCTACTGACAAATGTCTAATGTGCATTCATCTGCCCATGTTTTGGTTATTCCCATGCATGGTTTTAACGACTTCATTCAGAGAGAGAGAGAGAGAGAGAGAGAGAGAGCAGTCGATTTTCATTTAATTATTAGGAGCACAAGTTGTAAGCATGAAGTTCACATGAGACTCATGGTACGACGTACATCCTTGGTGTCTTTGGTTTGTTGGTGGTGCATGCGGTGTTGGGTGAGAGGAGAAGAAGAAAGGATATATAAGTACCTAACCTTCAAATTTCAAACCGTCTTTCGTATTCGGATTCCTATACATATATATTATACATGGTTAATGTCACGCATAAAGTATGCCCTTTATTTCATCAATTGTCTCTAGTTTTATTTATTTATTTATTAAGTTGTCTGTAAATTTGATGGTGTATTTAATTAGTATAAGAACATCCAAATTCTTAAAATATATGTTTTCATTTACAAAGTTAACAACGTGGGACACAATCTTATATATGGGCCAATTTCTCATGAGAATTAATGAAGAGGGTCCCTGTTGTTAAGGCTTGATGCTCATTGGTGCCAAAAACAAATGAAGAGGGTATTTTGGTAAAAAAAAGCGAATGAGAAGTGGAAGAGCGGACCTGTGATAGTGATACATACACACACGTAGAGAGGGAGGGCCCTGAATGGTAGAAGAGAAGAGAACAAACAAACGGTCTTTCAGTCATGGATGCGATGCGAATGTGACCAACCAACCACCGGTCCTCCATATCCATTGGTTGTACTGTATGTGCGTGGGGGGTGTCCTTTTAAGAACGGAGGAGAAGGGAAGTTGCGTGGAAAGTGAATCTTCACAATTTTTAGTGAGATGAGATGAGAGCTAGCTACCGTTAAAACCCGAAAGAAGGCGCCTTTACTTGCCCTTCACTTTATCACTCTCTCTCTCTCTCTCTCTCTCTCTCTCTCTCTCTCTCTGTGTTGCTATTTAGCATTTACTTTTTGGTCAGGAAAAGAGAGAAATAAAAGCAAAGCGAAGCTACCTCTTTGGGTTGAGAGAGAGAGAGAGAGAGAGACTTGAGTATAATGGCTGGAGAATATGGTTTAAAGGTGGCGGTGGCGATTGTGGTTTTGGCCACTGTGCGCCTTGGAGGGATTTGTGGGGTTGGAGCCCAACTGCACCATGTCGTTGCAGGAGACCGTGGCTGGGACCCTTCTTCTGACCTCGCTTCTTGGTCCTCCGACAAAACTTTCAGGGTCGGAGACAACAGCTGTGAGTCTTCCTTCTCTCTCTCTCTCTCTCTCTCTCCCCCTCCCTCTAAAACTTAAAAATTTGTTCTTTATGGTTTGCTTTCGTTTTGTTGGCATCTTTTAACCAAGCCATTTGTTTGGTTTCCGAGAAAATGGAGAGAGTAAAGTGGAAAGAAAGTCATTTTCAACGCAGTTTTGTTTGTTATATTTTGTTCATTCATTCACAAGTTCACAAGACAACAACTCACAAGACTCTTTTGTTTGTGTGGGGACTTTTATGGATGGGCAGGGTTAGCCTACTCGGCAGCGCATGGGTACATAGCTGAAGTGAAGAGCAAGGAGGAATTCGAGTCATGCGATGTCAGCAACCCAATCAGGATGTTCACGGACGGTTTGGATAGCATCTCTATGGACCAGGAGGGACTCCGCTACTTCGCCAGCAGTAACGTGGAAAGCTGCAAGAATGGGCTCAAGTTGCACGTGCAAGTCATCCCTCAATCTCATCAAAACCCTGAAACGCCCAACCCCAAAATAGCAATAGCAGAACCAAAGAGCTCTCGGTTGGCTGCAGCTGCTGAGGGGCCCGCAACTCCTTCTGGCTCAACCCGCCTCACCGCTGCAAGTCTCATTTTGTTATCATTTGGGTTGCTTTGTTATGTAATGGGTATTTAGTAAGTAGTCAGACTTTAAGATTATGCGAGGGGTATTTTGTTGTTCGCGTGTTGTATTGTATGAGCCACTGAAAAGAAGAGAAAAGATTGCCAGCTTTGCTATGTATTAATTCTAATTTAGTAAGAGGTGAGGATTGATATGAATTTGGATTTTTCCATGTATTAATTCTACTTTAGCATGAAAATGAAAGTTGAAATTGTTTCTGCTAAACTATCACACAATGCATTCGGAAAATGAAGCCAATTAGTTTCGAAATATTTACACACGCAATTGTCCATATTGCTACCAAATTGGAAAGACCCAAAAAAGACACAATCCAATTCATGGCCACCTCATAAGTATTGTTTGAAGGCTGATTACATATTCGGGGGTGGGGGTGGGTGGCAATCATTTATCTCTCAGCACAACATAGCTGGATCCGTTGGTGGTCTTCTGTATCTTAGAAATTTTCCTCAGGATCGCAGCAAAAGCTGTCTTGTCCTGCACCATACACAGAATGAACAAATAAGAACAAAACTACCATATTCCAAAGTATCAAGTCTCTATGTTCCTTCAAATTCAAACCATATTACAACGCAATTGTTGTTCAAACATATGCGAGCAGAAATTATATGAACTATATGCATTTGACTTGATGGAGAAGAGGAACACATGAATACAATCAATTTCAGTATTTGTATCCGAGTGAAAAGAAGCAACACATTTAAAACTCTCCATAATGTATCTCTTTAGGACCATCTTTCCTCCAATCATTCTTCGTTTTGAGTGAACATTTTATAACCTCCATAGTGTTTCTTTAGGACCATCTTACATCTGATCATTCTTTGTTTTGAGTAAACATATAAAGATTGTATCATACTGCAAACAAACGCAAACTCATTCTATATCCAAGGTCACTAATATAACCAAACAATTAACGTTCACATAATGAGTCGGCTTGAATGGACACTACGACAGCAGTCACACATGTTATTTTCAGCAAGAATTATACAGAAGAGGTTAAAGCAAGAAAATGAGTCAAACAGTAGTATAAACACATGATAGATCATACCTCTTGCAATCTGAGTCTTGCCTTAAATCTAGCAACAAGATCTTGTGTGGTGACTGGTGTTCTTTGCACCAAAACAGTCCTGATTTCTTCCTCAGTGACGGGTCCACTTGATGATGTTGGCTCCACTTTTACTGATGGAGTACCTTTTGAAGGTGTACTACTTTTAGAAGCAGATGCAGGCTCCTCTTTGATGGAAACTTTTTGTTCCTAATTTTGGTTATATGAATACCATCACTAGTGAGCATGGGGAGTTTCAAAGCTGATAAAAAAACAAAGTTAGTAACAATCATACATTTTCACTTTTCACCTTCTTGGGAGGTGCACTGTTAGATGTCTTAGCATCATCAGCACTTAATTTTCTCTTTCCCTTTGCGGACTTGGCGGTAGATGGAGTTCCTCGAGCAGACCCAGAAGGCACTGGTTTTGAGGGACTGTTGTCAGATGGTTCCTCTTTGGGTGCATCCTTTTGCTTTGGTGCCGCCGCTTGAGGAAAGCCAATATCATCATCCATCTGGAAAAAGCAGAAAGGAAATGCCGATCAGTGGACAAAGAGCTGTGATGCAATTTAACAGTCACAACACCAATCTTCAAAAAGTCCAAGTCAATGCATAAAACAAATTGGTATCTTCAACATAAATGCCCCATCACTTTTCAGAATGCATGCAGTGCAGGACAAAATTATAATCATATAACGGATGCAGTTCTGACTAAGTGACACAGGCAGTATAGCCTTTGAGTTGTTAGCATGTAACGTACTAAGATTGAGTATCCCAAAGAAAAATAAATAAATAACCTACATCGTCATCGTCATCGTCGTCATCCTCTGCATCTGAATCATCCAGCCCACCAGTTCGCCCAAGTAGCTTCTTCAACTCTTTTCCGGATTTGCTCAGTCCGCCCTCCTTGTCATCTTCATCCTCGTCCTCATCATCCTGTGAAAGAAAATGGAAAAAGAGCCACAACTTACAAAGAACTTGGACCAGTATAAAATTGACATACATTGTGAAAACAGCATAAATAAGTTGCACCAGAAAATGGAAATCATCAAGCATTATATCTTGAAATATCAGTATTTTCTAGCAGAAGATATACTTGAAGAGCACAGTGCAACATAACACATAATGTAGAACCCCAAACAAAGCAATTACGGGACATGAGTGCAGCAAACCTGCTTAATTTCCGGAGGAGCTGGAACCTCAAGTTCCAAATCTTCCCTTTCCTCAGGATTATTGCCAACAGCTTCATCATCATCGGTGAAAATTTCTTCATGCTCCCAATCATCACCTACAACAAAGGGAGGGACAGTTATAAATAAATGCAGACATGGTTATAATGGACTTCATCAAGTGCCCCTTTCATGTTTACAGAAAGAAGACATCAAGACAAGACTTAAATTTCATTTAACAGAGTGAGCACAGGATATGATCAAGCTCGCTGCAATGTAAGAAACCCCTCTGAGAACCTATTCTCATGCATGTTAAGAAAAAAAAATGTAAGTGCTAGACATAAAAGCACCTCACATCACATGAAACAAAAGGAAGCCAATTGATATGGCTTCCCCAATGGATGACCAAACATAGAACTAACAAGTAAAGCCAAACCTATTAAGTAATCAAGTACTTTACGAAAGAGATGGCTAATGACCCTTAAGTTTCACAATATACATAAAAAAAGACTGTAAAAAGGACGCCCCATTATGCCTATACATGCATCATCTTGCCATGGCAAGTAGGATCATCGTGAATTTCACTCTTCTGAAACTTTGTGTAGATAAATAATTGTATTGGGTATTGATGATTGAGAGGTTAGCAAGGAAGAAAGATAATTGTGTTCATATCACCCCAACGGTATTGGATATCAGTTATTGAGGTTAGTATGGAAGAAAGGAAATCGTGCTCATGATTTATTGTTTATAAAGCAAAATTGAGAAAAGAATAACTGCCTACCCTTCTCGACATCATCATCATCCAAGTCAGCATCAGCTCCCCTTGCACCATCATCATCATCATCATCACCACCTTTTTTGTTCAGTCTATTTTTCCTGGCTAACTCTTCTTCCTCATCCTCCTCACCTTTATCTGAGACATTTCCTTCACCATCATCATCATCACCAGCCTTTTTCCGTCCCTTCCCACCTGTCACACCATTATCCTTGTCAAATCTCTCCACCTCACCAAATGCAGCAGCTCCATTATTTGCAGCTTTCATCATCCATCTTTCATATCCATCTGCGGTCTTTTTCCTATTCTTAATCTTCTCTTCAGCTTCCTCCAATGTAAGTTGCTTGTATTGTGCAACCTTGTTGAAGTTGAACCTAAGAGATATTATCAAAACAACCTTATTTTGATATGCAGACAGACAAAACGATTGCAACCATAATTGGTAATTATGAAAAGCTCTTCTATTTATTCATGTCAAGACTACTAGTTTAATTAATGATTAACTCTACACTCAATTTAATTAATAAACAAGTGAAACATATACAAATGGAATACAATCAATTGCAACTCTCCTGCAGACCCAAATATGAATACATTTGCAGTAATGATGATCTAAAAATGTTCCCCTTTTTCCAGGATTGTCACTATTAAGTTTTTGTATAGATTATGATCATTTGACATTGCCTAATTGCTCTTTGTAGTCTAGTCACATTTTAATTTTCACTTATATTAATCTAAGAACATTTATTACCTAACCTATTTCATTCTATGCTTACTGTGGTTATTTGTTGATTTTGGATATAAAAAAAAACTGGAGGACAAATATTCTTACAGGGCTATCAATCCCATTTATTTTTTTCCTCCTTCACTATTGTTCAGAACTTTAGGTAATATGGGTAGCACTTAGATCTTATTGCATATACTAACAGTTAATAGTGATGATTGATGAACCAAAAACTGAAAATAGCTCTAACAGAAAGGCCAAGCAGGCATACCAAGAACCAGCAGGAATGGCAGAAAACTCCTTTCCTTGCCGCATTAGTAGGTAGTATGTTGCAGTTTGTGCACCTTCAAGATGACCCTGGTACTGAGACTGGCCAGTTTCATCCTCCAAGACCCAAGGTTTGTTCTTGTACTTCTCCTACGTAAATGAAATTTAATGTAATAAGAACAACTGATAAACCCAAAGAATACACTGAACCCTACAAACTGCATCAATGTCAGTTCATCAAACATCTCACAACTGTCTTAAGTTCGAGCAGATTCATAATTAAGAGAAAAGAAAAAACACAAGAACTTGGAGTATTTCAAGTGCAATGCACACACCAAAATTCTGTTACAAAGGGAATGAAAAAATTGAATTGAATTGAATTACCCGCAAGGTATCAGAAAGTTGGCGTCCTTGTAGTCCTTCCTTGTGAAGAGACCACTTATTTTCAGCATTTTTCTTTTTCGAAAAACTTGGCAACCCAGTCACAAATCTACCAATGAAGTAGTTCTTGTCGTTGACAGTACTCGCACGAACATTATACTCCTATTTCAGGAACAGCCAAAAAATACATAAACCAGTACTCTATTTTTCTCCAGAAGATAGATATAATATATGTATATAACAAATAGAGAGAGAGAGAGAGAGAGAGAGAGAGCGAACTCGAATTAAGCGAGTGACGATTGCGCCACATTCAAAGCATTTGGCGCGGTTCTCAGCCATGGTTTTGCCACAGGACAGGCACAGAGTCATGTGCTTGCAATTACTTCCGTATAATTCCGACGTCGATCCACATCCGCTGCACGAAGATCTCAGCGTCAAATCGGCCGACATTTTCTCTCCTTCAAAACCACAAAATTTACCAGAGAATATTACAACGGTCAGAAAAGCTAGCTAGGGTTTTAGATAGTCAAACTAACAATTGAACAATTCAATTACCTTTTAATTCAAAACGAGACTGAAAACAAACGATGTCCGGGTTTCGATTATAAATTTGATTTGAAAGTTTGTTTGGTTCTTATAGGTTTTCTTGTTTTCGCTTTGGAATGGGATTTAGGGGTGGATAGAAGACTGACGAGGAAGAAAAATGTATGCGTTTTCTGGCAGGTGCCGCAGAAGTCGTGATCTGCTACAACAGACGTGTTGGTGGTCCCGCAAATTAGTTATGATCCCTCTCTAACGCCAAATGCCTAAAATGTAAATGGCCTGTGGTATTGTTTTCTTGGTCCGACGTCCAAACTGAAAACAAAACCCAATTTGCCTCTTAAGCTAAAGCCCATTCGGGTCTAGCCCAGGTATGACCAATAATCCCAAAGAGTCATTCTATGATGAGGGCCTTATATATGGCCCTTATGTGAGGTCCTATGTCTTAACTGTTGGATCAAGTTAACGAATTTGATCCAACGGCTAACTAATTTGATTCAATAATTAAGAGATAGGGTCTCACCTAAGGACCATATATCCTTACTATAAAATTCTTGTAATCCCAAGACCCCAATGAAGTCCGGTACCATATTTATAGACCTTTTATAATGAGGGGCTATATTAAGGGATGTGTTGAGAGGTTCAATGCAATTGTCGAATAATGACTATCATATGACTGTTAAATACCTCCTCATTATAAACCCGATGCCAAATTCACGCCCCAAATAGGAACGACACTATGGGTCTCTTTCTGCCATTCTATTTTGGTGGTGCTAGACTCTGAGGCGGCAACAATGGTTGCTGGTTGTTAGCTTGTTTCTATCTGTTGTGTTTTGTTTTGCTTGTAGTGTTGTTGGGCCTCATTTAAATGTCTTTATCCTCGCACGTATATGAAGCTTCTTCTTGGAAGTGAAGCACACCTGGAGGTCTGTAATTTTGGCAGTCTTCCCACAGTAGCAAACATGCGACACCAACATCCAAAAAGCGAAGTCAACCTTTGTGACCCATTAGCTCAGTCAGGCATTAGTAGGTAGTATGTTGCAGTTTGTGCACCTTCAAGATGACCCTGGTACTGAGACTGGCCAGTTTCATCCTCCAAGACCCAAGGTTTGTTCTTGTACTTCTCCTACGTAAACGAAATTTAATGTAATAAGAACAACTGATAAACCCAAAGAATACACTGAACCCTACAAACTGCATCAATGTCAGTTCATCAAACATCTCACAACTGTCTTAAGTTCGAGCAGATTCATAATTAAGAGAAAAGAAAAAACACAAGAACTTGGAGTATTTCAAGTGCAATGCACACACCAAAATTCTGTTACAAAGGGAATGAAAAAATTGAATTGAATTGAATTGTGAAATGGAATATGCGACTCCAGTCCTACTTCTCTAAAAATCTTCTCTCTTTGGTCTACATTTGATGGCCTCTTTCTTGTCCAGTTGTTGTGCTCTTATGCAACAAGTGGGTAATTGTGTGATTGACAACATCTACAGGAAGAAGAAAAAAAATGGTGGTTGACTATTTAGTAAAGGGAAGCTATAATTTTGATTTGGGGTTCTTTGTGCTTGACGAGATTCCCATATGGGTTGCGGCTACCTTTGATTATGATTTGTTAAGAGGTTTAGAACTTGTACTGTCTTTATTATTTAATTTTTGTGTGTTTAGGGATTAATGCCCCCATTTCTTCAGCATTTTTCTTTTTCGAAAAACTTGGCAACCCAGTCACAAATCTACCAATGAAGTAGTTCTTGTCGTTGACAGTACTCGCACGAACATTATACTCCTATTTCAGGAACAGCCAAAAAATACATAAACCAGTACTCTATTTTTCTCCAGAAGATAGATATAATATATGTATATAACAAATAGAGAGAGAGAGAGAGAGAGAGAGAGAGCGAACTCGAATTAAGCGAGTGACGATTGCGCCACATTCAAAGCATTTGGCGCGGTTCTCAGCCATGGTTTTGCCACAGGACAGGCACAGAGTCATGTGCTTGCAATTACTTCCGTATAATTCCGACGTCGATCCACATCCGCTGCACGAAGATCTCAGCGTCAAATCGGCCGACATTTTCTCTCCTTCAAAACCACAAAATTTACCAGAGAATATTACAACGGTCAGAAAAGCTAGCTAGGGTTTTAGATAGTCAAACTAACAATTGAACAATTCAATTACCTTTTAATTCAAAACGAGACTGAAAACAAACGATGTCCGGGTTTCGATTATAAATTTGATTTGAAAGTTTGTTTGGTTCTTATAGGTTTTCTTGTTTTCGCTTTGGAATGGGATTTAGGGGTGGATAGAAGACTGACGAGGAAGAAAAATGTATGCGTTTTCTGGCAGGTGCCGCAGAAGTCGTGATCTGCTACAACAGACGTGTTGGTGGTCCCGCAAATTAGTTATGATCCCTCTCTAACGCCAAATGCCTAAAATGTAAATGGCCTGTGGTATTGTTTTCTTGGTCCGACGTCCAAACTGAAAACAAAACCCCATTTGCCTCTTAAGCTCAAGCCCATTCGGGCCCAGCCCAGGTATGACAAAATAATCCCAAGGAGTCATTATATGATGAGGGCCTTATATATGGCCCTATGTGAGGTCCTATGTCTTAACTGTTGGATCAAGTTAACGAATTTGATCCAACGGCTAACTAATTTGATTCAATAATTAAGAGATAGGGTCTCACCTAAGGACCATATATCCTTACTATAAAATTCTTGTAATCCCAAGACCCCAATGAAGTCCGGTACCATATTTATAGACCTTTTATAATGAGGGGCTATATTAAGGGATGTGTTGAGAGGTTCAATGCAATTGTCGAATAATGACTATCATATGACTGTTAAATACCTCCTCATTATAAACCCGATGCCAAATTCACGCCCCAAATAGGAACGACACTATGGGTCTCTTTCTGCCATTCTATTTTGGTGGTGCTAGACTCTGAGGCGGCAACAATGGTTGCTGGTTGTTAGCTTGTTTCTATCTGTTGTGTTTTGTTCTGCTTGTAGTGTTGTTGGGCCTCATTTAAATGTCTTTATCCTCGCACGTATATGAAGCTTCTTCTTGGAAGTGAAGCACACCTGGAGGTCTGTAATTTTGGCAGTCTTCCCACACTAGCAATTCACTAGTGTAGTCAAATGTAAGGCCAAAATTGAAAAGAAAATCCAATTTGCTTTAAATCCCAAGCCAGCCCCAGGCCAATCCGGGTTAGGCCCAATACCAGGTCTGCATAGGAGCGTAGATCAAGACCAAAATATTCTTAAAATAGAGTCACATGTATGCCCACGTAACTTTACTCTACTTAATAGATTTATGGATGAAATTGGACGATTTTGACGGTGGGGTGACATTGGCTAAAAATATAAATTCAAATCCTTAATTAAAAACAAAATCAGATAATAAATTGAAAGTACGGATGTTCAGATAGCAATTCACTAGTGTAGTCAAATGTAAGGCCAAAATTTAAAAGAAAATCCAATTTGCTTTAAATCCCAAGCCAGCCCCAGGCCAATCCGGGTTAGGCCCATTACGACGTCTGCATAGGTTCAAAGCATTTGGCGCGGTTCTCAGCCATGGTTTTGCCACAGGACAGGCACAGAGTCATGTGCTTGCAATTACTTCCGTATAATTCCGACGTCGATCCACATCCGCTGCACGAAGATCTCAGCGTCAAATCGGCCGACATTTTCTCTCCTTCAAAACCACAAAATTTACCAGAGAATATTACAACGGTCAGAAAAGCTAGCTAGGGTTTTAGATAGTCAAACTAACAATTGAACAATTCAATTACCTTTTAATTCAAAACGAGACTGAAAACAAACGATGTCCGGGTTTCGATTATAAATTTGATTTGAAAGTTTGTTTGGTTCTTATAGGTTTTCTTGTTTTCGCTTTGGAATGGGATTTAGGGGTGGATAGAAGACTAAAGAGGAAGAAAAATGTATGCGTTTTCTGGCAGGTGCCGCAGAAGTCGTGATCTGCTACAACAGACGTGTTGGTGGTCCCGCAAATTAGTTATGATCCCTCTCTAACGCCAAATGCCTAAAATGTAAATGGCCTGTGGTATTGTTTTCTTGGTCCGACGTCCAAACTGAAAACAAAACCCCATTTGCCTCTTAAGCTCAAGCCCATTCGGGCCCAGCCCAGGTATGACAAAATAATCCCAAGGAGTCATTATATGATGAGGGCCTTATATATGGCCCTATGTGAGGTCCTATGTCTTAACTGTTGGATCAAGTTAACGAATTTGATCCAACGGCTAACTAATTTGATTCAATAATTAAGAGATAGGGTCTCACCTAAGGACCATATATCCTTACTATAAAATTCTTGTAATCCCAAGACCCCAATGAAGTCCGGTACCATATTTATAGACCTTTTATAATGAGGGGCTATATTAAGGGATGTGTTGAGAGGTTCAATGCAATTGTCGAATAATGACTATCATATGACTGTTAAATACCTCCTCATTATAAACCCGATGCCAAATTCACGCCCCAAATAGGAACGACACTATGGGTCTCTTTCTGCCATTCTATTTTGGTGGTGCTAGACTCTGAGGCGGCAACAATGGTTGCTGGTTGTTAGCTTGTTTCTATCTGTTGTGTTTTGTTCTGCTTGTAGTGTTGTTGGGCCTCATTTAAATGTCTTTATCCTCGCACGTATATGAAGCTTCTTCTTGGAAGTGAAGCACACCTGGAGGTCTGTAATTTTGGCAGTCTTCCCACACTAGCAATTCACTAGTGTAGTCAAATGTAAGGCCAAAATTGAAAAGAAAATCCAATTTGCTTTAAATCCCAAGCCAGCCCCAGGCCAATCCGGGTTAGGCCCAATACCAGGTCTGCATAGGAGCGTAGATCAAGTGCACCGTTTTGAAAGATTGGTAGGCAGCTACCCACATGACTCGAAATTAGGACCGATTATCCCATGTCCCTAACCAACCTACCACACCAAATTAATAATCCCGAATAAAATATTACTATTTTATCCTTAAAAGCTGAGAGAAAACCAGCTCTACTTGCTCTTGCTTCTGTGTAAATTAACACCTCAGTTTATCTTCTTCACTGCAAGCTCTGCTCTGCCATCTTCTTTGTCCGAAATTTTCAACAGCTCAACGACGCCGTTTCCAGCATGGCTCTGAAGTCGTTCATCGAAGTCCACCCCAGCTCGCACTTCCCCATACAGAACCTCCCGTACGGAGTCTTCAAGCCTGAACCAGGTTCAGTGGCTCGACCGGGCGTGGCAATCGGTGACTACGTCTTGGACCTCTCTGCAATCGCCGCAGCTGGTCTCTTCAACGGTCCGATCCTCAATAACTCCGATTGCTTTCACGAGGTCCGTTTGATTATCAATTCCATCTTCACTATAATTGATGATCAATGCAGTAATTAATTGCTCTGTTTTGGTTGTTAGCCTAATTTGAACAAGCTATTGGCATTGGGACGGCCTGCTTGGAAGGAAGCGCGTGCTACGCTTCAGAAACTATTGTCATGTATGTATCTTTATTTATGTATATATTCAAGTAATTAGGTTTAGTTTATACTTCATTAAGTTAATAACTAAGCTTCATTTGGTTAATTATTGGTGCAGCTACAGAGCCATCATTGCGTGACAATGAAAGTTTAAGGCAGAAATCACTTATTCCACTGGTATCTGAGAAATTATATGGTTTTGAATATATGATACTTTTAAGCTTAGATTTTTCCCCGTTTTCTATACATATATATTTATTTATTCGTCTCTCTTTATGTGGATCAATGTTTAGAGCAAGGTAGAAATGGTTCTTCCTATTGCCATAGGGGACTATACGGACTTCTTTTCATCCTTGCATCATGCAAAGAACTGTGGAACAATATTTCGTGGACCACAGAACCCGATTCCACCAAACTGGTATGTGGATTTTGAAAAACGCATAGAACATAAGTTCTTTTTCACTTGTAATATTGTTTTTACAAGTCCAGGAAGTCTGAATATTACTTTATGTCAAGGTTCCACCTTCCAATTGCATATCATGGTCGAGCTTCTTCAATTGTTATCTCTGGAACGGACATTATTCGACCCAGGTCCGAATTTATTTATCTATTGTTGCTTTTAGGCTCATTGAGTACGCAGGTTGAATGGAATCTTATATTATACAATTTTTATTTGTTTTATCACAGAGGTCAAGGCCCTCCTGCTGGAAACTCTCCACCACCTTTCGGTCCCTCAGTGAAACTAGACTTTGAGCTCGAAATGGTTAGGCTTTCTATGCTCTAGTATAGCCTTTAGTACTGTAGAACCTCATAATTTTGGTTATGTTCATAACTCGTTGTATTTATTATGTTCTGCCGATTCTCATTTTGCTTGTAGGCTGCTATAGTTGGTCCTGGAAATGAGTTAGGAAAGCCCGTGGATGTTAATGAAGCAGCAGATCACATCTTTGGACTTGTGTTGATGAATGACTGGAGTGGTATGCTTGCTTCTTGCTTCTATAGGTTCTTCTCATCCTTCAGATTTAACTTTTGGTTATACTTGATAAGAAGTTGGTTTTGACAGCTAGAGATATTCAGGCATGGGAATATGTTCCCCTTGGGCCTTTCCTTGGGAAAAGCTTTGGTAAGAACCGAAAACCATGACGCCTCATTCTTACATTCCATTTCTGTAACTTAGAGTACTGGATTTAAGCACTATCTTAGTCAGTTGACTGCAAGACTGACATTATTTTTGTGTAAAAATGTAAATATTAGGGACTACAATATCCCCTTGGATAGTGACGCTAGAAGCTCTAGAACCTTTTTCTTGTGAGGCTCCCAAACAGGTGCTTACTCATATTTGCGTAGCACCATAATTTCCCAATTTTTCTATCTAATTGTGCGTGGATTTTTATTTGTGTTATACATGCTGCGAATTGTAGGACCCCAATCCATTGCCCTATCTGGCTGAAAAGATCTCCAAAAATTATGACATTTCATTGGAGGTATCTTCCAGCTCATTGGGAAACTTGCTTCTTTCAGTTTATAAATATGTTTCTTTTATAATCTCCAGTGATGCATAAATCAAGAATCATCCTTCTAGGCCTTATGAATTTTGTTCTTTTTAATGGTTAAGATTGTAAATAGTTATATGCTCTTCCATTCTTGAGATGACGATGAAACTGCCTTTTATTGCAAGGTTCAAATTAAACCTGCTGGACAAGATGATTCACATGTGGTCACAAAGAGTAATTTCAATAATTTGTAAGGATTTCTGCCCAATTACTTCCTCGACATATTTAATCTTTAGTTGGGACAACCTCTTGCCCTGTTAACCATTGAATAAGTTACCTAGCTTTCTCCGTCTTCCCTCAACAAAAACTATGCAACAGTGATCATACCTATCTGGCTGAAAAGATCTCCAAAAATTATGACATTTCATTGGAGGTATCTTCCAGCTCATTGGCACACTTGCTTATTTCAGTTTATAAACATGTTTCTTTTATAATCTCCAGTGATACATAAATCAATAATCATCCTTCTAGGCCTTATGAATTTTGTTCTTTTTAATGGTTAAGATTGTAAATAGTTATATGCTCTTCCATTCTTGAGATGACGATGAAACTGCCTTTTATTGCAAGGTTCAAATTAAACCTGCTGGACAAGATGATTCACATGTGGTCACAAAGAGTAATTTCAATAATTTGTAAGGATTTCTGCCCAATTACTTCCTCGACATATTTAATCTTTAGTTGGGACAACCTCTTGCCCTGTTAACCATTGAATAAGTTACCTAGCTTTCTCCGTCTTCCCTCAACAAAAACTATGCAACAGTGATCATAATCATGATGCCTACTCAGAGTTGGGACATCTCCTCTGTAGTAGTTTACTTGCAGTCTGGTATAAAGTGCTTTATATGCATCATTACCAAGCTTTCTTTGGTGCTGCACTTCCAAGGGGCATCATAAGTTCCTTGTAGCTTAGTTGAATGCTTAACAGGACGCTAAATAATCCGATGAAAGAAAATCCATGTTTTTATACTTTTTATTTGTTCTGGTGTGATCCTGTTATAATGTTATCTTAATTTCTGCAACTCGTATACAGATATTGGACATTGACTCAGCAGCTAGCACACCATACTATCAATGGTTGCAATTTAAGGCCGGGCGATCTCCTTGGAACAGGGACCATCAGTGGACCTGTACGGTTTCAGTTTGTTCTAATATATTCCTACATTCATATGACATTTTGTTTGAGTGGAAGTTTTTGCTAGAGTGAACTCCATTCATCACTTGTGTTTCACAACAGGAGCCAGAATCTTATGGATGCTTGCTGGAGTTGACATGGAATGGACAAAAGCAGCTGTCCTTAAATGGGACTCCTCGTAAATTCCTAGAAGATGGAGATGAAGTCATCATTTCTGGTGTTAGCAAGGTTGTTAGTGCTTTCCTTATATTTGATCATGACGATATTGTGTTGTAAAATTTGCTCCATTTGTCATGAAGTTAATTTATGTTTTCACATAGTTGGCGATTTCTGTTTAATCCAGCGATAGGATAAGCTTTACGTGCTTAGTTGTCTATCCCTTGATGTGTTAGTGTTTGATACTTTTACTATGTGCAAGTGTAGCAACTAATATGTTTCCATTGCAGGGGAATGGTTACAACATTGGCTTCGGGACATGTTCTGGAAAGATTGTGCCTTCACCTCCTTGAAGACTTTTGCTTCTTCTTGTCGGAGCTGTGTGTCCCACTCACTTTTCCATTGTCGTTATGTAATTCGTAATTTGACTTCACTCGCTCGGTGCTCAATGAATGTCGTACTATTTAGTGAATAATTCATTCCCCTCTCTCTCTCACTCTATTCACACATGATTTTGCTGTTTAAGCAGCAATTTTAGGAGGCTTTTGTTTTGCTGCTTTTTCTTTTTCGTGTGACACTAAAAATAAAAAAGAAGCATTCCTCCAAAAAGGGGGCGTGGGCGTGGGTCCCGTAAATTAACGGACGGGAGGACCGACGGGGTTGCTGAGCTGAGCCATCCATGCAACGCTATTACGCGCCAAGACCATTCAAGAACCTCCTACAGTTCCGAAATTATTTCTTTTTATTTTAAAACTCACAGACGATTTTCATTTTTCACACTCAAAACTTTAACTCATCATCCACACTACACGCACAATACTAGTACTAGACTAGGCTTTTAGCGGAATATGAAACCCTCTCGCAGTCGCAGGCTCAGCTTCTCCTCCTCCTCCTCTTCTACCACCACCGTCACCTACACTCTCCACAATGACCAACCTGCCCCTCCCACCGCCACCGAAATTCCCATCCAGTCCTCTGCTACCCCAATTCCCATCACCGTTCACGTACCCCAATCCACCGCAGCCATCAAAATTCAATCCGCCTACCGGGCCCACCTCATCCGCAGTCTCTATAAAACAATCGCAGCCGTGCATTCCGAGGCCGACGAGTTCCAGCGCCTGATTCAACGGCAGGAAACGGTCGACGCCGTGAGGAGCAGCGAGCGGGAGAAGCTGACGATGAACGAGGCGTTGATGAGGTTGCTGCTGAAGCTGGACTCCGTTCGTGGGGTGGACCCCGCAGTGAGAGAGGCGAGAAGAAAAGTGAGCCGTCAGATCGTGGGGTTGCAGGAGATCGTAGACGCGATTGTTTCAGAAGATGTTGATGGCTTTTGGGGATGTGGAGATGGTGGGTTTGTGCGGAACTGGGACGACGTCGTTGCGGAGATGGAGGAGGGTGTGTGCAGGGAGAGAGGGGGTGAGGAGATGGAGAGGTTTTGTGCTCAGTATCTGGGGTTTCGCTGCTTACAGAGGTTTCTGCGCGAGCCGTGATTTAGTGCGTGCGGGCACTGTGCCTAATATGTAATGTACGACTGCAAATTGTATTTGTTATGCAGTGTGCCTGTTATAGCTAGTCTTTCTATTCGTCTATTTATTTGTCGTGAATAAAACCTTTGCTTATAGTAGTTTCATGAAATTGAAACGCCTCAAATTACTCTCAAATTTTCAGTCTTGGTCACATAGAAATCTGATGCTAGCTGTGATTCTTTGTCACAAAATAGATACTGAAATTGGAATTAATTCACAAACCATATAAAGAGATTTTTCAGTAAGCTGGAGATACATAAAATTTGCGATAAGTAGAAACGTACAGACACAGAGCTTCTTGGGAAGTCATCTATCTATGACACGCAGCTGCACTTGCAGCGCAACATGCATTTCTTGCAGTCAGAGAGCTTAGGTTTGCCACCAGAACCACAGTTACACCTCTTGACACAGTTGGCCCTTGAGCTTCCACCCCACAAGCATCGAGCCATACACCGCAGAACCGGCGTGCATTCTGGGCATCCAAACTTCATCTGATTAGCCACACAGTCTTTACACTGAATGCCGTCCGATGGGCAAGCCAGTGCTGGGAACACAAACAACCACAAAAGGAGCAGCAGCATCACCAGTGGCACAGCAGCTTGTGTAGAAGCCCTTTTCTCCATGATCTGCTTCTGAAATGAGTCGTAGAAGCCTTGCTAAGTGATTTATATTCTTGTTTGTTACATTACATGCATGTAGAAGAGGGCTTTCAGCCTCATTGAACAACTACCTCATTTAGTGCCATTGAATGCCACGTCTTGGTTTGCACAACGTTTTAATCTGCACGTATTTCTATGTCTGGTCTCTAGAGTGCACCACATCACCAGCTACTGGTGCTCAGTTACAGTTACGGTCAGCACAAACAAAGTAATTTTGGAGTTGGTCAATGAGCTATTATTATGGTGTGTTGATCCAGATTCCAGATCCATGCTGTAGGATAACTACTTGCTCCACTACACAAGACAAAACCGCCCCTTCTTAGTAAATGTACAAGACTTTGACGATTGTTTCCTCGTAACATTTTTTGAGAAAGACAATTTCATTAATCAATCGAAACTGAATAGTACAGCTAGTAAAATGTGTCCTCATTAAAACCTTCCCGAAGAAAATCATATAGAATAAAACTTTAGGATAGAAAAGAGTGCCACACTTGTCAATTACAAAGACAAATCAATATTATAAAGAAAGACAATCCATGAGCCACGGGGACCCCGACTCCAGCCAGTATGAGAGATCTCTGTCACGTAAACTAAACTTGGCAATCCGATGAGCCACCTTATTAGCCAGGCGAGGGATATGCCGAACAGTCACCGAGGGATTATGGTGCAGCAGCCTTGGGATTTCCTCCACTAGACACCCCC